ATTATAAAAGAATTCATGCATTTGAGTTATGGTGCTGGAGAATATTAAAAGTACCATGAACTGCCAAAAGAAGAAACAAATCTGTGTTTGAAGAAGTACAGCCAGAGTGCTCCTTAGAAGCCAAGAGGCCAAACTTCGTATCTCATACTTCAGACATATTGTCAGGAGGGACCAGTCGCTGGAGAAGCATATCATGTTTGGTAAAGTGGAGGGTGAGAGAAAAAGAGGAACACCCCTAACAAGATGCCTTGGCACAGTGGCAGCAACAATGATTCAAACACAGCAGCAGTTGTGAGGTTGGCGCAGGACTGGGCAGTGTTTTGTTCTGTTGTGCATAGAGTCTCTGTGAATTGGTACCAACTTGATGGTACCTAACAACAGGAAAGTGAAAATCTTTCAGGAAAGTGAGGCGGCACAGGAGGCACTCATTCATTTCTGCCAAGAAATTTGGAAGACAACTCTCTGGCCGACTGATTGGAAGAGATCAATGTTTATGCCCATTCCAAAGAGAGGTGACTCAACAGAATGCGGAAATCATCGGACAATCTCTTTGATATCTCAAGCAAGCAAAGTTTTGCTAAAGGTAATACAGAAACGGCTACAATCATACACTGACAGAGAACTTCCAGAGGTTCAAGCTGGATTCAGAAGAGGCAGTGTAACGAGAGATATCATTGCTGATGTCCGATGGATCTTGGCTGAAAGCAGAGAATATCAGAAGGATGTTTACCTGTGCTTTATTGACTACGCAAAGGCTTTCGATTGTGTGGATCATGACAAGCTATGGACAACGTTGAGAAATATGAGTATTCCAGAACACTTAATTTTACTTCTAAGAAATCTGTACCTAGACCAAGAAGCAGTTGTTCGAACAGAACATGGGAACACTGAATGTTTTAAAATTGGGAAAGGTGTGAGACTGGGTTGTATTCTTTCACCAGACTTATTCAACCTGTATGCTGAGCAAATAATACGAGAAGCTGGGTTCTATGAAGAAAAACGTGGCATCAGGATTGGTGGAAGACTCATTAACAACCTGTGATATGCAGATGATACAACCTTGATCGCTGAAAGTGAAGAGGACTTGAAACATTTACTTATGAAGATTAAAGAGCACAGCCTTCGATATGGATTACATCTCAATGTCAAGAAAACAAAAATCCTCACCACTGGACCAATAAACAACATTCTTATCAATGGAGAAAAGATTGAAGTTGTGAAGGACTTCATTCTTCTTGGATCAACTGTCAACACTCGCGGAAGTAGCAGTCAAGAGATCAGACGACGTATTGCACTGGGTAAATCTGCTGCACAGGAACTTTTTAAAGTATTGAAGGTCAGAGATGTCAGCTTGAGGACTAAGGTGCACCTGACCCAGGCCATTGTGTTTTCAATAGCCTCATATGGATGCGAAAGCTGGACAGTGAATAAGGAAGATCGTAGAAGAATTGATGCCTTTGAGTTGTGGTGTTGGAGGAGAATACTGAAAGTGCCATGGACTGCCAGAAGAACCAATAGATCTGTTTTGGAAGAAGTGCAGCCAGAGTGCTCCTTGGAGGCCAGGATGGCTAAGCTTCGTCTCTCCTACTTTGGACATATTGTCCGGAGGAAACAATCGTTGGAGAAGGATGTCATGTTGGGTAGGGTGGAGGGTCAGAGAAAAAGAGGAAGACCCCCAACAAGATGGATCAGCCAGGTGGCATCATTGATGGACTCAAATGTGGCAGCGGTAGTGAGGTTGGCCCAGGATCGGACATTGTTTCGTTCTGCTGTGCATGGGGTCACTATGAGTCAGTTCCGACTTGATGGCACCTGACAACAACAACAACAACAGCAACAATTATCTATTTTGCGCATTAACAACATACATCTAGCAGTAATAAATGATGAGGTGAGAGTAATGCTGGCTGTGATGATTAAGGTTGTGTGTCCACTTGGCTGGACCATGATTCTCAGTGGTTTGGCAATTATATAATGATATAACTTGGCAGTTATATGAGGAGCTCTGGTAGTGTCCTGGTTATGAGTCAGGCTGCTAATCTCATGGTCAGCAGTTCAAAACTACTAATGATTCCATGAGAGAAAGATGAGGCTTTCTGCTTCTGTAAAGATTTACATCCTCCAAAGCCCTATACAGGGTTGCTATGAGTCAGAACTAACTCCATAGTGCATAACCACCACCACCACCAAAACATTATATAGTGGTTATATAATGATGCAGCCATTCTCCATTTTGTGATCTAATGTGGTCACCCTCCATTTTCACATAATTCATATTTTTACATAACAACCTGATATTTGGAACCTAACCACATCAATACATGAGGAGTGGGTATAAAGTGTGTCATATAGACTACATATAGTGGAGTCCTAGTGTGGCATTGTAGGGTAAATACTCACCACAAGGTCAGTTTGAACTGCAAGGTCGGTGGTTCAAACATACCAGCTACTCCAGGCAAACCCTATATAGGGTTACTATGAGTGGGAACTGACTCGATGGCACTTAACAACAACATAGTTGAATAATACGTTTTATCCATCTTTGTCTTTTGATTTAAATATTTAAACCATTTATATTTGATGTAATTACTGACTTACCTTTGCCACTTTAAATTTTTTCTCAAAGGTCATGTATTTTTTGTTTCTCGGTTCCTCCATTACTGCCTTCTTTTGTATTAAACAGGTATTTTTCAGTGTATCATTTAAGTTAAAACATCTCAAAACTCACTGTTCTTACCAAAATTCTGACATTTTTCTTGAATATGCTCTTTTTGTTAACTTAAAGAGTTCTGAAAAAATGATTTTGTGAAAAATTTGCCAATCTCCTCATTGCTTTTATTTTCTGAGTTCTTCGTTTCATCATCCCTGATGATATCTTCTTGGCTTACGCCTGTGTAATTGACTCAGAAATATATACTCACTTTCTATCTTTCTCTTCAGCCAATTTCAATCTTGTGTTAAATCTCCACTTTAACACATTACATTTTTATATTTCTAGTTCTATTTGATTTATACAACTAGAAATGAAAGACTAAATGGGTTCCTTTGCCCGTCTATATTTTCTAGCCATATTATAAAAAATACATGTGCTTCCTTTGGGGAGGACTTATTTTTTCACTTTTCCCATTGACTTCCTGTGGTGCCTCATTCTGAGCCCATATGTCCCTATTGTCCCCTGTCTCTCTCTACCACTCCTAAACATAGTCAATAATTCAGAAGAGAAACTTTTTGAAAATAAAAGCAAGAGAGTATTGGTAATTTCTTTTCATAATGTCTATATGCCCCGCAGTGCTTTTTCAGAGGCATGGAGATTGTGTGACCCTGCCAGGAGACATTGAAGAAGAGTAGCATTTGATTTTGTGATAAGGAGGAAGAGCACAGAGCTGGAGTGGAGCTGGTGCTGGCCCAGGGCTCTGATAGCTACAAGTGGATCAACCACTTAAATCACTGGCACCCCAACTTCTTTTCCTAACCATAAAGAGAAATTTCAATGCTCTGAACATTTGGTAGCTCTGAACCCATCTATATAAATAAATACCCACACGCATCTTCTTCTCCCCATTCACCTGCATTCAGCACAAAGCAGTTTTGCCTAATATATCTTCTTGTCTGTCCTAATGGATGACATATTGACTGATGGACTGACTGCTTTCCTGAATGGAAACAGAGTTACATGATGACTTTCAGGGCTCCTGGGCACATTTTGTGTTTGTGAGCCCCTTTTTCCAATAACAAATTTAAAATGATGGTTTACAGCTGTGTTGGTATAAAGAATGAATAGATTAACATTTTCTTCTGTGTAAACATTCAATTTTGATTTTGATCTTAAAAAAAAAAAATCAAAATATTTTCATGGGCCACTGGAAGTATCACTGTGACTTCTTGCCCAATGGGGAAGTCAGCATTGCATGGATGAATGAATAAATTAATACTTCCTTTTCTTAAGAAATTTCCTAAGAGAACCCTCTGACCTCAGAGCAAACGTATAAGTGGTATCTCCGGTATTTGATACCAAGTCTGTTGCCTAGTTTCCACTTCCAAGGAGATGGGGGTTTCTCCCTCATTCTGTCATTTCTCATTTAAAAGAAAGCTTCTCCTAATTCCAGAACTGTCAGAAGCTCATAAGGCACTTTTTATTAAACAAAAGTTTGTCATCCTTAAGAAGAAGAAAAAGCACTTTTATTATACTGCTATGTGGCATTGCAGAATAATGCACTGGGTCACAAGGTCAGTTTGAACTGCAAAGTCAGTGGTTCAAACTCACCAACCACTCCTTGGAAGCCCTATACATATAGGGTCGCTATGAGTCTGAACCCACTCAAAGACATTTAACAACAAGAAAATTATTATAATCTTTCACAATTTGAACAACTGTCCCCAGCAGGTCTCAGAAAAGTGGGGACTCTAGTAAGATCCCTCCCAACCTCATTTGAGATATGACCTGCATGTCACGCTTGGTGGAAGTGGTAACACTGGCCTGCAGCCTCCAGCTTAAATGCATCTGAAATGCATTCTGTAAGCCAAACTTCATTCAAAGTTTGTGGTGAGCATTGGAGTCCAATTAGGTCCCAGGAAAAGCTGTTGGGTCTTTATAAATGGTAGAAGGTCAAAGTTATGACCTCAGGATTCTCCAGAACAAAAAAGGAACAAAAGGCCCAGCCATACGCAGATGTGTGCACTGGTGGGTATGTGCGCACTGGTTTTCTTGTGTGTGTGCATAGCCTTGTGTGCAATTATGAGTTGATGTGAACCAGGACTCTTGTTATTGTGCCCAGAACTCCATTCAAAAGACTGGAGTCTCCCTGGTCACCCCCATGCTCTTGTGCACATTCATCCATGTCTACAATGTGAATGTGAATGACACCTCCTTAGACGTGGCTTTCTTATTTGGGTCACATTCTGAACAGCTGCACGTGGCAGCCTTGCCCAGCTCTCTGAGTTTCCTTGGCCATGAAAAACCCACACTCACGATATTAAAGCCTCCTTTTTCCTCTCCACAGGGATGACCTGCCAAGCCCGAAGCTCCTACATCACCAGTGAGATCCTGTGGGGTTACCGCTTCACACCTGTCCTGACCCTGGAGGACGGGTTCTACGAAGTTGACTATAACAGCTTCCATGAGACCTATGAGACCAGCACCCCATCCCTCAGTGCCAAAGAGTTGGCCGAGTTGGCCAACAGGGCAGAGCTGCCCCTAAGTTGGTCTGTATCCAGCAAACTCAACCAACACGCAGAACTGGAAACGGAGGAGGAAGAAAAGAATCCCGAAGAACAAACAGAAAGGAATGGTGATGTGGCAAACCTAGAGAATGAATCCAAAGTTTAGTCCCCTAGCTGGGCAAGCCCTTCTCCTCTCCCCCCACACAACCTTTCTTCGTCTCTCATTCTCTTTCTTTCTGTCTCTTTCACTTTGTTCTTTATTTATATTTCATTTTGGCATTACCAGAAAACAAATCTTCGAGGTGTAAAATATCTACCTGCCCTCTCTCAGTTATTCAGATCGACAAGGTAGACAAGGATTTGGTTAAGGTGCAATGTGCCCGCGCTGTGGCCCAAGCGTGGTCTCTTCCCAGAATACCCTACATCCAACTCCTGCAAAATTAAGCCAGCCACCTGCGTGTGTTCTACAAGACCAGAGCACCCCAAAGAGTGTGTAAAAGATATTACCTGGGATAAGACAAGGAAGGTTTGTGGTGCCTAATTATTCATGCAGTGACACATAGAGTAGAGCCCTCAATTTTATAGATTCCAATGAAGTCCATCTACAGGGCGAGGTGCTTGCCACATGGGGCATTGCAGTAACAGGGCCCAGGTGAGCTCAAGACAAAACACTGTACATAGATCTGCCTTATGTAATTATTTTCTTTTTGCTCTTAGTAATAAAACCAAGCATGTACAAAAGTACTGTAGGACAAAACTCTTAAATAATGTACATAGATGTATAATTCATGTAGGTTTAGATACATAACTTTAGAATTAAGATGAAAAAAAAAAAAAGATTCCCAAGCCTACCATAGACATTTCTCTTTCCAATGTCTGTCTTTCCAGATTATTTTGACTCCCTTGACTGCTGGCCCTTTAGTGCATGGCCTTTCATTCTGTGCCCCAGCTGTTTAAAGTACCTCCCTGTTCCTTCGCTGATCCTTTTAGTGAATCTAATAAGCCATAGGTCTGGGGGAAGTTGGGAGGTGCATTAGATGGCAAAACCCACCACCAATACGCTGATATACTGTGAAATGTTTACAAAATTGATGTCTTTTGTTTTGGTTGTGGTTTTTCAAAGATTGCAAGGGCCTCGCTGACTAGGATCGGGGAGGATAACAGGAAGATAAAATTCTGTCGTATATCACCAATGAGAGTGTTCAGTCTTTGTACGTGAGCTCTCACCCTTTGTAATATACTAGTTTAAAGAACTTCTGTTCTGCATAATCATTGATTCTTCCACTGTTCCACTCTGTAATTAGGAGACAGTTAAGATCAGACATGGTACATTAGTAGAAAATGATTTAGGTCTGAAGACATGAAAATCATGAAGTGGGAAACGTATATTATAATCATTAACCCCCCACCCTTAGACTGCATCTGGCGCTCTAAGGAAGATAGCTTGTCTGTCCCTGAGGACATGTCCGTCAGCACTTCTTGAATTCAGATTTTTTTTTAATTATTATTACAAAATTGCTACTAAGTTTTCAAAGATCAGATAAACCATCTTGGCAAATGTCTAAGAAATCTCTCCAGAATGTACCACAGGTTAGAAATCAAAAGAGATCAAATATAAAACTGCAGCCTTAATTCATTTTTATTGAATAGATAGATATAGAAAGAAAGAAACTACAGAGGGAAGGAAGGGTATCTGTACTGAAACTCCAAGTTTCAAAAGGAAAAAGAGAGAGAGAGAGAATCTTAGACAAAACTCAAGGGCAGGTGGAGATTTTGCACTGCGACAGATCTTTCCCATTAATTTCCCATTTATAAACTGTTTGTTCCTTAACACAGTGGCCCATCATAAATATTCATTGAATGGATCCAAGTTTATTTTCAGCTCCTACAGCTGGGCTCAGTTTGAGGCTCTGCACCATGTAGGTCGAAGAGATCAAACTACTGTCCCTCTCCGTTTCCCTAACCTTTCCTGCCCAGATCGCACAGGCCTTTGCTGCAGTTTTGGGACTTTGTCTACTCAATAGGATGTCCTAGAGACAAGGAAAGTGGGGGCAGGGTCTATCCACTCCTACTTCAGAGACCTTGCTTCGGGACAAGTTCTTCATAGCACTGACTTTATAGGAAACAAAACTCTTGGCCATGGCCCTTTCTTGTTTGCCAGCATTTTGTTTTCTGCATTGAATATCTGTCGAGTCATTTATCATCCCACACACTCTGAAGAGGAGGTTGCAGTCCAGGAGGAGGGAGCCCATACATTTCCCTCGAGGCTGTGGGGAGGTATAGTGGCCTTACCTTGGTGGTAGCCTTATCACAAGCCCTCTTGGCTTATAGGCACTAACCCCTGCAGTAGTGTTGTAGGGTAGGGGCATGGGTAGCACAAAGCAGATGGAATAGAACTATGAAAAGTCTGTTCATTTAGCTCTTGAAGACTCACTGGGCCTTTCCAAATCATTCACTAGAGTTTAAAGAACAACACAACAACTCTGTTGTCTGGTTGGAAGAGCAGCTCAGGGCCTGGTCATCTCTTGCCTGCCCTTTGGCACAACTGAACAGATAACCTTGACAACACATTAGTCACACGTATGTGCCAGTTCTGTATCTGGAGCAAGGTACTGGATGTGAGGTTTCTTCCTGTTCCTCACTATTTTCGTGTCAATGTAGGTGGAGACAGAACATGAACCAAATCTCACTTTTGTAACATAAGCCTCTGAATCTTTCAAACAAGAAAGCTCCAAAAGATTCTTTTACTAGAATGTCCCAATCAAACAGGTCTATTTTTCTACAGTTATTGATAACACAGTTGAACAGTGTATTTTGTGTCAAAACTGTTAAAATGTTGAACTGATTGAAATTAAGACTGAATTTTCTAAGCAGCATGTATTGAATGGTGTTTTTCATTAAGACAGTTCATCAAAGATCGTCCCACAATTTCTACTCATTCTAATCCATACTACCTAGTTCCCAAGCACTCTGTCATCTTGGAAGCAAATCAAATGCTATGAAAACAAATAAGTCTATTTTCATGCAACAATATCCATGAGGGGCACTCTCAATTTGATAGTTTGATCTGCTTGGTCTTTGTATTTGAGTCACTTTTCCATTACAGCATGGCAGGATTCTGAGGCAGATGAGGTATTTGTAACTAAAGGTTACAGAGCGAAGTGCTCCTGGGAGACAGGGAATATTCAACCAGAAGCAGTCCCTCTTCAAGGGCTGCTGAGTTCCCCAGAGTACTTCCAAACTAGAACAGCACCTGTTCATTTATACATCAACTTCACGTAACTGTAAAATTGGTTATATTTTCTGACATCCCCTGAGCAAATTATACTCCTTTACACTAACGCATTTGCAAATCATTGTTTTTCCATTCCTTCCAAACATGGTATCCCTATGTGGTTGGTCCAGTGTATTGCCACTCTGTGTCCCTGAGCTGGAAACCTATCTTCCCCCACTCCCTTCCTCTATCTGTCCCCTGTTTTCATTCTTTCCCTAATTCTCCAGTTCCCAATCTACTGACTTAGTTCAGCCTCTTATGATCCTTATCAGAACTCTAGTTACCGCCTCTAAAAATGGCAACTCATTTCTTAAGCACAATTTTCTCTTGCAGATTTGACCAAACTAGGGCTCTGAAATGTCTATTATTCTCATTACATGCTAGTTTAAAAATCACTTAGGACTTCATTTAAAAGCCTACATTTTTGAGTTTCCAGAACAACTTTCTTCTGTTTTCCCTTCCCACATTTTCTGCATTTCAGGTTTCTTACCTCACCTCCTCCCATCTTGCTTTTTCATTTAGGTTTAAGTCAGTGTCTTTGGGATGCTCAGAAACTGTTTACTAAGGGGAAAGCTGATGGACAGGGGAAAGAGTATATAGAATGCAGTTCGAAAACTTCTTAAATGCATCAGAAAAATATGAACATCGCCCGAGTAGCTGAATGATTAAAGAGAATGCAATGAAAATAATCCAAGTAAATCAGTCAGAAGGTAACTGGTCAATAGTCCCACTTATTTTTAGTCTTTGTCTCCTTGACTTAAGTGATACTCCATATGGCTCAAAGAATAAGGAAGGTAGTTGGAAATAAAGGCCTATGTATATGGTAAGCCTTATCTTCTATAATTATTTCTTCTCAATGAATTTCTATAAGGTCAAAAAACAGTAGGGAAAATATGAACACAAGATTCACTGATACTGAGTTGTAATACAAAAAGATAATATTATCTTGTTTCTAGAGTTTATGGCCAACCTGTATCTAAAGAAATTTTCCTCTGATTTAAAATTCAGCCAAACACGCTTGTTATTAATGTTTTTTGCCCTTAGTGTCTGTGAGTGCTTTTGATGACAAAGAAAGTCGCCTAGAAGTTAAAATTATCACGAGGCTGATAAAAGATATTGGTAAAGCATAGTGTGTACAATAATATGTGCCCAGCATCATGTGGTGCTTTTGAGTATTCACAGTGCTGGTATAAACTGTTTGTTTCATGTTAATCCTCCATGGGAACGTCAGTATTATAATTTCCATTTTATAGATGGAAAAACAGAGGTCTGGGCAAATTGAGTAACTTCCCCAAGATTATAAAGCCAGAAAATCATAGAGAGGTCACAGGTCTTTGCGCCGTGGCCTCTTTCTGCTACACAAAGGTCGTCAAGTAAATCTGTAGCCAAATCTGGCCTGTTGACTATTTTGTACTGCTTGTGAGCTATGTATGATTTTTACATTTTTGAATGGTTGGGGGTGGAAATCAAAAGAATAATATTTTGTGACATGTGAAAATTATATAAAATTCAAATTTTAGTGTCCATAAATAACATTTTGTTGGAATATAGCCACACCCATTTATTTATGTATTGTCTATGGCTGTTTTCACACTAGACTGGTCAACCAAACTAGTTGCCATCAAGTTGATTCCAACTCATGGCAACCTCATGTGTGTCAGAGTAGAAAACCCTATATCCCATAGGGTTTTCAGTGGCTGATTTTTCACAGGTAGATAGATCATTGGGCTTTTCTCCCAGGAAGCTTCTAGGTGGGCTTGAACCCTCAATCTTTCAGTTAGCAGCCAAACATGTTAGTCATTTGCATCACCCAGGGACAGCAGTGATAGAGCTGAGTAATTCCAACAAAGACAATATAACCAGCAAAGTCTAAATTATTTACTATCTGGGCCTTTACAGAAAGTTTGTTGACCCCTATATTATGAGCCCTAGTGTGGCACTGTAGGATAAGCACTGCACTGCTGGTTCAAAACCCACCAACCACTCCTTGGAAACCCTATACAGGGTCACTATGAGTTAGAAGTGACTCAATGGCCCTTGACAACAACAACATGCTATACTATGTCCCATTAAGAGATTCTTGGGCAACTTAGAAGACAGACACATTTTTCAAGTATAACTTATTGAAGTCACTTATAGTTCAGATCAAGAAGAAAATGATACAATTTGTGGTGATGGGGTAACTGCTACACGAGATTTTGAAGGCTCAAGGGAAAATCTTTCCTTTTCATAGTCATTCCCCCAGAGTGATAAACAGAGTAAACCACCAACTCAGAAAATGATAAAACAACCCATTCACTAGCTGTAAAATCAAGGGAATATCTAGTCCAGCGACTGATCCATTGCTTCACTGGGACTCATAGGATTTGACTATGTAAATAGCTGGGCCATTGTTCTCTGCTCAATGGCGATACTGGACTTGCGGCAGTGGCCACACATCAAACCAGCCGCCCCTTCCCCGGGTGGCTTCTCGCTTATGGACAGTCTTAGTGGGGAACTCAAGCTGCTGAGATGTCTGGGTTATATTTTCTTGCTAGTTATCTCTAGC